ATCTTCCCATATCCACTGGCTGTTGAGGGAACTGGGTGGGGTGAGCTTCTTTTTCCTCTCTATCCCCCACCCATCTGCCTGGTGCCCTACAGCACTCACCCCACATCTCCTCTGTCCAAATCCTCAACACTCAGTTCAGCCTTGCAAAGGCACAGATATGAACCATGGTTTCCATCCACTTCTACTTCCACTTACTCTCTGTTCTCTTAAGGCAAAATTTCTCCTTACTCTCTGTTCTCTTAAGGCAAAATTTCTCCTGTCCTTTCTGTCAGTGTTTGTCCCTGGTGACCATGAGGAACTCCAGTTTTGCTCCCTGTTACGGGTTCCTCCAGATTCAGTGCTTATCTGAACTTCTTGGTTTATTCTCAGATCTAAGCAGCAACTTAGCTTTGTTGTCATCTTTCCTAGACCAGACCTTATTCTATTATTTCTTTAAATAAATTCCCTATCTCATTCTCTCTCTTCTCCTTCTCTGATACCAATTGTCCTTATGGTGCCTTTCCTAATAGAATCAGACAGGTCTCAGAGTACTTATTTTTCTGTTTCTTCTTATATCTGGTTCTTTGTGCACTGTGATCTTCATTGTCTTCAATGTCACTAATTCAGTCTTCTTCCATAGCAGAATATTTTTATCTCCTCAATTGATATTTTAGCATCCTGCAATTCTCTTCCTTTCTTGCTTAAATCTTCAGTTTCTACTTTATGTTCAATAATTATATTCCTCAACTCATTATATTTTCCTGAATCTACTGCATTTTCTTCCCTTCTTTCAATTTTGAACTCTCTTCTGTCTGAAGAAAGACTTTCCATATCTTTGTGGTGGGTTCTGGACAGTGTTCCCTCCTGTGGTGGTGACATACTCCTTTGAGGTCTCAATGTACAATGGGGATGGGTGGGTCTGTATTCTGGTTTCCAAAGCCCTGGGTCCATAAGTCCCCTGCCAAAAACATTATGCACACATTATTATTGGAGGTGCTGCACTCTCCCCTCTCTGCAATGAAACAGATGCCAGAAATAATTCTAAGTCTACACTTTGTTTACCTCCCCAGGGTGGGCACAGAAAAACCCACTGGCAGACTGAGTTCTCTGTGGTCATTTGAGGTTCCTTTCTAGACACAGGATGGAGGGAGGGGTATATATGTGTTCAGTCTTTCTGAAGCCTGTGTTTAGAATTGCCCTGCCAAAAAGGCCCTGCACACGATAGTCCTGGACTCTCCCCACTACTGAACTCTCCCCTGCTGGCAGAGAAAAGAAGGCACCAGAAACAGTACTGGTTCCAGTTCTCTGGCTGCCTCCCCAAGGTGTGCACAAAAATCTCTGTTGGGCAGACTAGATTTACTCTACAGGCCTAGGCTGGAGGCACACAGTGGTGAGGGCTGGGTATCCCCAGAGATCCCTAGGGTAGTCACAAACAAACCTGAGATTCCAAATACAGTGAAGGGGTCAGCTAAGTGACTCTCCCCACTGCCAAATCCAGTTCCCTGGCCTCCTGGGTGTCCTCTGTTGAACTAGCAAGCAGGCTAAGCTCTCAGAGAATTATCACTCTCCTTCCAGGGCCAAGACCATGAGAGAGCCTGGGGACCTGGCAGAGTAAAGGCCAGCTTTCCTCCTGGGAACTGGCACCATTCCTGATTTAGAGTTTCTCAGTCTTTCCTGCCCTTTCTGAAGGATTCTGACTCTGCTCTTTGCTGGGACACAGGTCCTCACATCCCCAGCTCCATTCCAGATATGGTTGTTCCTTCCAGATGCTTATTCTTGGTATCTGTAAAGGATGCAGTGACTCAAGAATCCTGTCCTTCCACAGTCCTTCCCCACCCCCTATTCTATTGTACTGGCTAGAACCTCTGGTTCAATCTTAATTATAAAAAAGAGCTGACATTCTTTCCCTCTTCCTAATCTTAAGGGAAAAGAATTCAATCTTTCACCTTTAAATTTGAATCTAGATATATGGTTTTTAAAAATTTTTCTAATTCCATTTAGTTAATTTCTAGTTTAATTCCACTATTATAGAACATATTATAAGGTTTCAATCCTTTGAAATTTATTGAGAATTGTTCTATGACCCATCACGTGGGCCTATTTTAGTGAATACTCATGTAAATTTGCAAAAATTGTGCATCTTATAGGTGTTGGTATAGTGTTCTGTAAATATCAACCAGGTCAAGTCGGCTAGTAATGTTATCCAAATCGTCTATATGCTTGCTGATTTTTTTGCTTGTTTATACTATCTATTGGAAAGGCCTGCTGAAATCTTCGACTATTGTGGATTTGCAGAAATGAAAACTCTCCTCCATGTGTGGCCATCTTTGGAGGATAATTTGGCAATATATAGCAAAACCATAAATATGTACACTGTATTATGCAGAAGTTTATCTTCTAGAGATATCAGCTGTGTGAGAAAAGGAAGAAAAAGAACAGAGATGAGAGATCCAATCCTTCCAATGAGGTCAGCATATAGATGAAGGCATAGGAAGAAACTGAATGGGCCTGGAATTTGTTGCTCTAACATGGTTCAAAGTCTTCCAATCTTTCTGATAATGTTCATGAATGTCTAAGACAAAATCAGCCTGTTCCAGGGAATCTTACTTTTTCTATATTCCCTTTGTGGCATCCACCACACAGAATATTTCTTCTTTTCCCCCACCCCCAGAGACAAAGAAAGTATATTTAATCACTACTTGAATATTTATTGACGGTATTTTAAGTTTGGGACAAAATATACACATCTCCATTCTATTTTTTATAAGTCCAAATCTGTTTCTATAACCTCTGGGAAGTTTACTGGCTCTGGGAAAAGCAGAGTCAGATATTAAAGAAAAGAGCAGAGCCTCCCCTGGTGGCGAAGTGGTTGAGCGCTGGGCTGCGAAGCTGCCCATAGCCTCTGCAGTGCTGGTTAGATCCCCAGCCACCAGCAGGGTTCCACAAGGCACACAGACCTCTCCTGCCACACCCGCTGCTCCCCTCAGCAGTGTATTTCGTCAGTCTGTCTGTTCTGTTCCCTGTGTGAATTCTCTCACCTCCCACGCTTCTGACTGTACCCAGTGCTTGTATAAATCAATCAATCAATCTTTCTTAAAAAATGTTAAAAGGGCCTCCCCGGTGGCGCAGCGGTTGAGCGCTGGGTTGCGAAGCTGCCCGTGGCCTCTGCGGCGCCGGTTCGATCCCCGGCTGCTCCCCAGCCACCGGAGGAGGATCCCACATGGTGCGCAGACCTCTCCTGCCACCCGCTGCTCCCCTCAGCAGTGTACTTCAGTCCTTCTGCCTGCTCTGCTCCCCACTCTGGCTCTGGTGAATTCTCTCACCCTCCCGCGCTTCTGACTGTACCCAGTGCATGTATAAACAAAACAAACAAACAAATATAATAAATAAATAAATAAAAACATGCCTCTATTAAAAAAAAATGTTAAAAAAAAAGAAAGAAAGAAAAGAGCAGTAGAAAGGACTCAAGATCCTTCCAGCTTAATCTTCCTGGTTTGTAAAACTGCATAAAACATCCCTCCTTACCTCCACTCATCTGCTCAGTGTTTAGAGTAGCAAGGCCATAATAAGGACACCCAAGTGTGCCTCTGGACTTGACATATTGACCTATGATCTCAGAGTGACCTTCCCAAGGCAGACCATGGCCAGCTGGAGGCAGGAGAATTCTCTCCAATGCTGTTCCTCCATGATTTCTTTTGCTTCTATTATAGTCTTCAACATCATTTGCCAGTTGGAAACACTGATACATTTGACTATGGATACAGAGAACCTGTATTTGAATCTCAGCTCCCATATTTCCTATCTGGGTGACCTTGGACAAGTCATGTGAACTCTCTTTGCAAACTCCCTCTGCTTCATATGTAAATAAGAAAAAATAATATGTACTTATAGGATTATTGAGGATATATGTTGGGATAACAGAAAACCCTGGCGAATTTGCAAACAAGTTTATTGTCCACATAATTTTCAATATTAGTCATTCCTAACATTATAGTATAGTATAGTATATTAGTGATGCTATTCTGCAGTAAACTTATGATTTCATACTGTAATAGAGTATGTATCTACATAGACTGAGTGCAGCCAACTTTTAAAATAGGGCTTGGACTCAAATGTAGGCTTGGTCACATAATTCAAATACTGAAAATTTTCCCCATTCCACAAACCCTTTTCTCCACACACAATATCCCTACACACAGATTAGAACCTGACATTCAAAATGCTTTGGATGATGAGAGATCATTTAAAAAAAAAATGCTTAGGATGACATGTCAATTCTATCTTCCAATGACCATGATTATTAATCCAAAAACATCTTAGATAATTATTTCCACAAAGACAAAGAAGAGTGGTGCATCATTTCCCTGGAAATCCTTAATTTAATGATCATAACAATTGTGCCCACTGATGATGACAATGTAAGATTTAAAATAGGAACACTCAATCTAAGATGGCCCTGAAATTTACTCAAATTGCCTTCACCATTTTATGTCTCTGCCGTACAATAATTGGGACCACAAAAGTGGCAAATGCTTGGACTACCACCTAGAGTCATCTTGAATGATAATATTCCACTTCCATATAACCTTAAATTATGATTCAAAGACACTGCTGAGAACCATCAGGACAGGGATACACAATATCAACAGTCAGAGTACCAGCTCCTAGAGCTATGATTTCAGGGGTTAGATTCCAACTCTATTGCTTACTATGCAGAAATTTATTATAAGAGTAGGATATGAGGCAGGTCATTAACAGGTGACTAAAATATCCACAGGCTGAGATCCATCTCTGCTCTTGGTTTGGCATTCTTATGGTATTTCTGTTCAAGACTGGGGAAAACCCAATTCCTTCTCTTGTTTAAGTGACTGTGATCACTACATTTGTATTCCTCAAATCAAAAAAGAGATAAGCAAGGCAAGAAGGAGGAAGGGTGCTGGTCAGAGTAATCTTTGAACCACATAGTCTGCAAATGAAAAATAGGTCTCAGCTATGAAAGACAACTCAGTGTCTCCATGAGGTCATCTCTTTGATCTGAAAGCAACTCTGCTAAGGAAGTTGGCCAAAGCCACTTGAACTTCTTGATTTCTCAGACTATAGATAAGGGGGTTTAGTGTGGGGATAACAAGACTATAGAAGAAGAAAACCATATTGTCCTGCTGTGGACTGTGGTAGGTGCCTGGAACCATATGCATGAACACAGCTGCCCCATAAAATAGTCCCACTACTGTGATAAGTGAGGAGCCCTCAATTGAGTTCATGCAGAGAATGGTTCTCAAAATGTGGCTGTAAGAGGTGAAGATGAGTGAGAGAGACAGCAACATGATCAGCACCCCCGAGATGGACAGTGTCAACTCATAGGCAGAGGTATCTGCACTAGCGAGCTTTAGCAGAGCAGGCAGTTCACAAAAGAAGTGTTCCACAGTGTGTGAGTCACAGTATGGAAAGTGCAGAATTATAGAGGTCTGGATGGAGGCCACAAGCACACCCGACAACCAGGAGGTGGCCACCATGAGCAGGCCCAGCTGGTGTCTCATGAGTATGGGATAATGCAAGGGGTGGCACACTGCAACATAATGGTCATAAGACATGAGGGATAGCAGAACCCCTCAGAGACACCCATCAACATCAGAAAGAACATCTGAGTTCCACAACCTCCAAAGGAGATGGAACTACCTCCCTGCATGAAGTTGGCTGCCATCTTGGGAATGGTGATCAATGGGAAGCCAACATCCAATAGGGAGAGTTGACTGAGCAAAAAGTACATGGGTTTATGGAGCCTGGGGTCTGTGTGAATCAAAAAGAGCAGGATAGCATTGCCCAGAAGGCCCATGGTGAATATGGTTACCACAAGGGAGAATAGGACAAGATGTGGTCCTGCGTGGCTGAAGAGCCCCATGAGAATGAAGTCCGAGGTCATGGACTGATTAGCTTGACCCATGCTCCATCATTCCTCCTCAGAAAGAACAAGATATTTAACAAGTAGCTTTGTGGGTGATAGTTTCATCCTACATGCCAATTGCAATTGTTTGATAGCAGCTGCATAGAATCTTTTGAAGCTGATGAAATGCTAGGTCTTAGTAGGAAAAAGTGTAATAATTAATTCATTATGTCTGCTCTGGCCAGGCTATGAGGAATAGCAAATAATCCTCTGTGTTTGCCATTTCTTTGTAAAGGTCTTACTTCAGGCAAGCTTTCAGTTTAGCTGTCTTTGTCCCCAAACTAGAAAGCACAAATCATCTCTATTTTAATATCAGAAAAAATCCCATCCCAGATGTGCTAGGGTCAAAGTGGAGGTGGAATTTTAAAGAGATGAGAATATGAAATAGAGGGATCTTGCCAAAAATAATATGGAATTTTGAAATTGGGTAAAATTAAATTCAAAAGCATGCAGAAAGGCTTGTTTTCAAATCTTGGATGGGGAAAGGGGAAGGTCAAAATCTGGGAAGAGCCTGAGGGGAGATGGCATTCAAAATGTGGATGCACCTACCAAAAGCAATCTACAGATTCAATGCTATTCCAATCAAAATTTCAATGTCATTCTTCAAAGAAATAGAACAATTATTGATGAAATTCATATGGAATCACAAAAAAACCCGAGAGCCAAAGCCCTCCTGAAAAAAAAAGAAGGGAATGGAGGCATCACACTCCCAGACTTCAAACTGTACTACAAAGCCATAATAATCAAAACTGCATGGTATTGGAACAAGAACAGACACACAGACCAATGGAATCGAATAGAAAAATCCAGAAATAAACCCACAGATCTATGGTCAACTAATCTTTGACAAAGGAGCAACTACTATGCATTGGAGCAAAGAAAGTTTGTTCAATAAATGGTGCTGGGAAAACTGGGTCACTACATGCAAAAGAATGAAGCTTGAACACTACCTCACACCATACACAAAAATCAACTCAAAATGGATTAAAGAACTAGACATAAGACCTGAAACCATAAAATACATAGAAGGAAATATAGGAGAAACACTACGTGATTAGCACATCAAAGACATCTTTACAGACACATCACCCAAAGCAGTGATAGTGAAGGCAAAGATAAACAGCTGGGACTACATCAAATTAAAGAGCTTCTGCACAGCAAAAGAGACAATAACAAAAACAAAGAGAAACCCCTCCAACTGGGAGAACATTTTTGCACCCAACACTAATGATAAAGGACTGATCACAAAAATCTGCAAAGAGCTGATGAGACTCAACAACAACAAAGAAAATAATCCAGTTAAAAAATGGGCAGAAGAGCTAAAAAGAAACTTCTCTGAAGAGGAAATGCAAATGGCCAACAGGCATATGAAAAAATGTTCAACATCACTTGTCATCAGGGAAATGCAAATCAAAACTACCATGAGATACCATCTTACACCAGTGAGAATGGCACATATTAAAAAAACTAGCAACGGGGCGGAGCAACATGGCGGCGAGGAGACGCTGCGAGTAAGATCTCCCATTAAAAAAAGGTTAATAGGGAGGAAAAGCGGCAGGTCCCAGTGAGAACTGGGACACGGAAGATAAACGGGTGATTCCAGCAAACTACCCGAAGAAGAAACTGGCCATGAAAGAGGACTAGAAGGGAGGAAAGCGCAGAACCCTGCTCCCCTCCCCCGCCCACAGAGGCGGCACTCTCCGACCCGCAGAGAGGAGGGAAACAACAAACTAAAACGACCCACAAGAACAAACGACGCAGCAAGCGGGACAGTGAGTGGAAAGGAACTATTGCAGCCACAACACCCCGTGAACGGGAGCTGAGGCGAACCCTGCAGGATCCGCCGCGGCGGTGAGCGAACGGCTCCGGGCGCCATTAGAGAAGAACAAAGACCCCGGGAGACGCGCACACAGCCCGGGCTGCCGGAAATTTCTTAAGATTGCTTGAAAAGGGCAGAAGGCTTCTGGAGGACCCAGTGGCCAGCCGGGAAGTTATTCCACACCAGGCCCCTTCCGACCAGCAGTCTGAGCCCACAGAGGGAGCAGGCACTCACGTCCGGGGCAGACCGGGTGCGCAGAAGAGTGTGCCTGAAACCGGAGGCACAGGGACTACATCCCGCTTCGCCATTTGAGAACAGGGACATTTATTCAGTAAAAACTGCCTAAAACCAGCAGAAAGCTCCCCCAGAAGACAGAGATGGCTCCTGGAAGAGCCAGAGGGGAGCGGAGAAGTTCACCCAAGATGTCAGTCAGTCCGAGCAACACAGTGTCCCAACGCATACGACAAATTAGAAAACAGACAGTAGGGAGTAGAAGAACCACACGCAACCTAACAACTCCTCAGGAAAGAAGCACACCACAAAAAGAAAACCACTCCCCAGATTGCAACGACAGCAACTTGGAAGAACTTCTGAGCCTTCCAGAAAGAGAATTTAAAATTGCCATGATTAAAAAAGTGATAGACCAGAAGAAGGAAATTGAGGCCCTAAAGAGGGAAGTAAGAGAAATACAGGAGATCAAAGAATTAATGGAGGAACTAAAGAACTCTGGGAAAAGCAATGAAAGCAGAATAGATGAAATGGAAGAACGAATAAGTAATCTTGAAGACACAGAAATAAAAAGAACCAAAACAGAAAAGGAAAGAGAAGTACGAAGGAAAAAGAACGAAGAAAGACTTCGGGAACTATCTGACTCCATGAGGAAAGGAAATATAAGAGTTATAGGAATACCAGAAGGAGAGGAGAGAGATGTAGGAACAGAGAAAATATTCAAAGAGATAATTGAAGAGAACTTCCCAAATGCGAAGAAGGAGCTGAAAATTGATATACAAGAAGCAAGAAGAACACCAAACTTCCACGACGAAAGGAAAAACACAGCAAGACACATAATAGTAAAGCTCCCAAGAATCCAGGACAAGGAAAAAATAATGAAGCTGACAAGAGGGAAGAAACAGATAACATTCAAAGGAAAGCCAATCAGGCTGACATCAGACTTCTCCGAAGAAACACTACGGGCAAGGAGAGAGTGGAGGGACATAGTCAACAGACTCCAAGAAAACAGATGCCAACCAAGAATACTCTATCCCGCAAAGCTCTCTTTCCTCCATGAAGAAAGAATATGGACCTTCCCAGACAAAGAGAAACTCCGGAATTTCATTGCGACTAAACCCCCACTCCAAAAAATACTACAAGGAATCCTAAAGCCAGAACCTCAGAGGGACGAATAACAACAAAAGAAGACCAAAAAAAAAAAAAGTTTTAAAAGAATAAATAAATAAAATCAAAGGAAAGACAAACATAATGGCAAATACAGATGCTAACATATCAATATTAACTATAAATGTAAATGGACTAAACTCTTCAATAAAAAGACACAGAGTTGCAGCCTGGATTAAGAAACAAAACCCAACCATTTGCTGTCTCCAGGAGACACATTTAGCTACAAAAGATAAAAATAGGCTCAAAGTCAAAGGATGGAAAACAATCCTACAAGCAAATGGGCCAAAAAAGAAAGCAGGAACAGCTATACTTATATCAGATAAAACAGACTTCAAACTCAAAAAAATAAAAAGAGACTCCAATGGTCACTACATTATGATTAAGGGGACAATACTTCAAGAAGAAATAACACTCATTAACATATACTCACCGAACGAAAGAGCACCAAAATATATCAGACAACTGTTGTCCTCTCTGAAAACAGACATCAGAGAAAACACATACGTAGTGGGAGACTTCAACACACCACTATCAACAATGGATAGATCAACAAGACAAAAAATAAGTAAAGAAACTAAAGCTCTAAATAAGGACCTAGAGCATTTGGGCTTAACAGACATCTATAGAAAACTAAACCCCAAAAAAACAGAGTACACATTTTTCTCAAGCGCACACGGATCATTCTCCAGGATCGATCACATACTGGGGCACAAGACAAACATCAACAGATACACCAAGATTGAAATCATACCAACCATCTTTTCTGACCACGAAGGCATCAAACTAGAAATAAATCATAAAAAGAAGGCAAGGAACTATCCTACCTCATGGAGATTAAAAGCCACACTACTGGAAGACCACTGGACTAACGAGGAGATCAAAGAAGAAATTAAAAAATTCTTTGAATTGAACGACAAGGAGGACACCAATATCCTAAATGTATGGGATGCAGCAAAAGGAGTAATAAGAGGAAAATATATAGCAATAGAAGCTCACATCAAGAAACAAGAAAGAACTCAAAGAAACAACCTAATCTCGAAGCTAACAGATCTAGAAAAAGAACAACAAAAACCCCAGAACCAGTAGAAGAAAAGAAATAATAAAAACCAAAGCAGAAATAAATGAAATTGAAACTAAAAAAACAATCCAAAAGATCAATGAAACCAAGAGCTGGTTCTTTGAAAAAATAAATAAAATAGACAAACCGCTAGCCAGGCTCACAAAGGAAAAAAGGGAGAAAGCACAAATACACAGGATCATAAATGAAAGAGGAGAAATCACAACGGACACAGCAGAAATCAAAAGAATAATCAGTAACTACTATGAACAGTTATATGGAAACAAGTTCAACAATCTAGAGGAGATGGACAAATTCCTACAACTCTACAATCACCCAAAGCTAGATAAAGAAGAAATAGAACACCTAAACAGACCAATTACAAGCAGCGAAATTGAAATGGTAATTAAAAACCTCCCCAAAAACAAAAGCCCAGGACCTGATGGATTTACAAATGAATTCTACCAAACATTCAGAGACGAATTAGTGCCTATCCTTCACAAACTCTTCCAAAAAATTGAGAAGGAAGGGACAATACCAAACACGTTCTATGAAGCCAATATTACACTAATACCAAAACCGAATAAGGACAACACAAAAAAGGAAAACTATAGGCCAATCTCCCTAATGAACACTGATGCAAAAATCCTCAATAAAATTTTAGCTATCAGAATCCAACAATGTATCCATAAGATAATTCACCACGACCAAGTTGGATTCATTCCA